TATACGAAGTTAAACGAAATAAGGACGGCGAAATCGTGTTCTGTGGTAATGTGCTTTCTGGGAAGTGTTGGATAGTATGGCCCGTTTGAAACAGCTATTTTTTCACAACCTATACGTAAATTATTAATATTTCTAATCAATTGTAGTGCCGTTGTGAAGGCTCGTGGTAACCTGAAAGTTCACATTCTGCCTCATAACGTTGTGAAATATTTAGTGTAGGTAATAAAAAACAGTGAATGGAAGCATTCATAGGAAATAGCTCTACTCCACGGCTCCGAAGCACCTTTCAAGCTCTGTTCCTAGAAAAGACCCAGCAGACTACTATTGAGCTTTCAGATGGAGCAGCTGCTCACAAAGCTACGAGCTCAGAGAGCGAACTCAATACCAACTGATTCATTATATGTATTTGTTGCCTACAGCGTAATTGATTACATTAGAGTGAGTAAACGACCATTTCTGATAACTCTTAGCAACATAAAGGGTAAGGTTAGGCTTGGGTTGCAGTGGAGCAAGGTAGATAGTGAGAAAGAAGGCGTACAAGACCTATCAAGGGAGCGTGTGCGAGTTATGTCATGAATCTGTCTGTCAGTGTCTTCAGAAAGTTTCACGGGGGGACCCCTCCAAAGGTGGTGGTAGTGGTGCGAAGGAGCTTCAAAGAGGTTTCCACACGACTCACATCCACCAACACTGATTGGAAACTCGATAAACGCAACGGAAGCCCTGTTGACAGGCCTGCTGCAGACATCCATAAGCTTGTGGTCCGTTTCAATCCAGTCGCATCAGCAAGAATTCCGCTTTCAAAATATTACCTTTCTTTTATAAAAAGGAGCACTTGTTATGATTTAGGCCAAAGCTCCATCAACTTACAAAGAAAAAACGCAGAAGTTCATCGACGAGTTTAAAAGCCATGCAATGCGCCACACAGCATAACATAATGTGAAACTTCTAGCAAAAAAGTGAAAATCGTGTTATTTGAACAGATTTAATGTATTGGCATATTATCGCAATTGAACAGCAATTTTATGCATTGGCCAAACGAATGAATAAACGCTTTACATCGCAGACTCGAATAAATCACTTCATATTGTTGTTGCCTATTGTATTCACCAGTTTTGCTCCGCCCGCTATCGCGCGCATCACACGGTAGGCTTCAGCGAAACTGGAGGACCTGTGGAACATCTGCTGATCTACTCCACAAAGCAGCTCACTATTGGATATGTTAGTGGAATGACCTGAGGTTGGAGGCTCTCCACTTTCATTGAAGTCCATCATGGATGCGCGTGAATGCGAAGCTGAGTCGGTATATTTATCACAACTCTGTAAACACCAGCATTTTTCTTGAATCCTGAGAATTCAGCGGTAAATGAGGTCTTGCTATGAGAATCAAAATGAAATCGAAATGTGTTCTCATAATAAGTGAGCGTTGGCCTCCTTGGTATTAATTAGGAGTGAAATGTATCATTCGCCAAGGAGTTGCTCACATTAAACTGGTTACATCAATACGTCCCTGTCCCACCCCACAGAACATTTGTATGTAAGAACACTCTAGAGTCAGCGTGGGCTGCGCAACGGAATGGCGACCTTTCCTTTCTAGCGCCCTGACTGCTCCTATAACTTGCGATCATCCTCCCTTACCGACTAGCAAAGCCTTCTTTGCCTTCTGACGCACCTTATCAGCCCTTATCAGTTGCTATCACTTTCAATCACCCACCACCAATGTCCCGGGACCACCCCACATAACACTTGTAAGTATAGACGCTCTAGTACCAATATGAACGACAAAACGAAATTGGCGATGCTCGCTTTCTAGCCCTCTTATCAGCTATTATCAGTCGTTATCAGTTCCTATCACGTACCACTTGTGTCCCCATCCCACCCCCTATAACATATGTAAGAACCATGGCGCTATCGTTACTGTGACTCGAGCTATGAATTTCCGGTCAAACACACACACACCAACAGACACACTTAGCCGATTATATATAGTAGGATATTGTTGTAGTATGGTATGAGGCCTAGTCGAAGAGTCAAGAAGACTGTTGTTGCTCAGTCACTTGAATTATCACCGAGAGTTGTGGCAAGTTCTGAGATACCAGTGGGTGGCCATTTCATTCCATAAGAGCGACTGCGTACTCATGTGGAGCCTCTCTCCCTGCATCTGACGCAGTGGTCCGTGCGAGATCCTGGAACTTGCGAATTTCAATTGCAACGATGATCGAAAGTATCGTCCGATCTACGAGATGATAGTCCTAGCCGAAGAAACCCGAACTCTTGCCTAAGCCGCGAAAAGGAACTTCAGCAGAGCTGAATCTCTGACTGTGTGCAAAAGGCGGTATGAAACAGAATTGGTCAGACATCACTTCTTTGACGAGTTGAGATCTCGTTAATAAGTAGGGTATTTTGCAGCAATTACCTTACAGAGCCTTGAAGGAGATTCTCGACGTTTAACTGCCTTTTTTAAAGAATTCGTTGAACTGATCATAACACAGCTCGCCTTTTGAGGTCAAGACCTGAACAAAGCTGAGCTTTCAAATAACTCCAAAAATTTTCGGTGAGCTGTGTGTGCACTCCAGTTGCGAGATCCATGGAGCTTGCACGGCGGTTTGGTAGCTCGAGTTGAGGGCGTCGCGCACCAGGAGTACATATTTCTGGAGCATCAAGGTTTACAACGGCTGCTTCAGCTTGCGGTCACCACACACTCAAGCTTCGTCCCAAAAACCTACAACTAGGCAGTTTCTGTGAGCAGCGCGACTTACACTGTACTGTCGTCACACAACGCATTTCATTCACCTGCACTACTGTACGAGGCCCTTCAATTTGTGTGACATTATTGTTGTAATAATCAACCACCAATGTGTCCATTGGGTAATGCTCGTTACGTCAGCCTCCGACGCCCATGTCATTTCCTTCACGAGCCCGAGGTCGTAGGCAATAGAACGCTCAGTGAAACCTTTTGGTGGTCACGCGTGGTTCCGAAGAAGTTCCCCTTCTAGTACCCGCTTTAATATTGATTCCCGGCCTCACGACGCTGGCGTTTGTAGCACTCAAATAGCCAGCGCACATCCTCATCTTCCTCCTTTTTCTAGTTCGAAACGTTGTGGATAACCAACAGTTGACGCGACCGCACCCTCCATATAGACCACGATCGGCTAGCCATTCGTCAAATTCTCCCTTCGTCTGCAATGTGGCCCCGTACAAATTAGAGTGGACAAAGACGAGAACGAGTGTCTCTCGTCATCTTCAATAACTTACTGGACTTCTCATTATGAAGCAGAGAATAAACTATCAACGAGTCAGTAGATATGATATGAGTGGGCAGATAATCATATTGATAATGCAGTGAAATCTAAAAAGTAGGAGTCAACAACTAATGAAAATAGTTGAAGATGCTCGTGCTGAGAAAACATGCAAAACAATCATGAGTGATAGAACTGGATTGAATAAAGCCTTCTATTGACTTCTAATGTAAAACTTCTCAGAACTATTGAGCAGTGGAAGTGAGAAAACTAGTAGGGTAGAAATAGATGTTGGTGGAATGCCTGCGTAGCATTATGACTGAATCAAATGAGTATAGCATGTGTAGTAAGCGCGAGTGAGCTATTAGGAGATGTAGTATTCCACTTGAGCTATTAGGAGATGTAGTATTCCACTGAAATTGTAAGCGATAATCGATATTACGACTACGCTAAAGACTGATTAACAGTCGTGATGCCTGAGTGAGGTCGCTGTAGTTGCATCATGTCGGAATTACTATACCGCGATTTTAAAACACCAGATGAGCTCCCGTGGTAACGGCGCGAAATTCGAAATGTCACCGGGAGGCTTTCTCTCACTATTGCGCGGTGCACTTCGCTCGAAGTCGTATGCAGGTCATTACACGGGAAGACTGTGTTTAATTGATGGATTGGAGTACCTCAAACTGTGCCATTCCTAATAAATGAGTGGTCTCCCGGCTCTCGTTAACTCACCCCACTAAATGAGACAATTTCTCGAACTCGTCTGGGAAACGGTTTCATCATTTTAAATCTATGATCTCGCTCTGTGAATCAAGTACCTGAACACTGCACCAGCCCGCAGTTTGCAGGTTCAGCTTTAGTAAGGAGAGTGAAGCGGGGAGGTGGAGGCGAGCCGAGAGTAGGAGGCTACACCGATAATCACTTTGCACCTTCTTTCAGAGAAAATTATTGCCGATTGTAATGACTGATTTGGGCTATTGCCAAGACAATTAAATCGCAAACAGCACATTCCCGTGGCTGGATCCACCTGGTGATCCGCCGAGCTTGAGTGTGACGTAGGGCGCCTCAACACAACACAAAAGCTGACTAAGTGCAGAGAGTAGCAAAAGCGTAGGCAGAGGCAAAACGTGGTGATTGGAAATACCTGAGACCTTGAGAAGCACTTCATTGCTCTTCTCCAGGCAGACTAGTGCAGTACGGGGCAATTCAAAGTCTGGAAAAATGACCTCATCACAAGAGCTTTTCCTGGCAAGATTCTTCTAACATGTCTTGATTGAAGCTCACGCCGCGAACAAATACGCAATAAAAAGTGAGCTCGCGATTGTAACGAAGTTCCTTCTTCTCTCGGAAAGCTAAGCTAAAAAGTCGAATAAGCGATCCCCATCTTCATCACATTACTTCTTGTGTGCGGCTAATCATAAATGGTACGAGAATTTGAAAAAGAAGTGATTTCTTTTCTTCAGAACCTATAATGTGCTGCCTGCTTTCCAGCATTTGTAAAGTATACTAAGAAAATTGCAGTTACTTGTGAGCTACATCTTTCACATATTCAATTCTTCCAGAAGGCTTTTGCAATATTTTAAGCAGATTTTGCATCCACGTAAAATTTTCTTTCTAAGAAATACTTGACTTTTGAATGCCTGAGAGTTACAGCCACAACTAGCCATAGCGAATCTTGAATTACAGCAGAAGGAAGCCCAGGGGCTCATCAGTGTGTCATGTGGTCCACTATCAAGAAATTGACGACTTTTGGTCGTATGGTCATGACAATCTGATGTTTTTGAACAATTAGGCGCGTGCATGTTGGGAAGAATTTCTTATCTGGAACTGAAGAGCGTGAAGAATCTTGAAAAAAGCAGGTCCCTCAGATGCTTAGGCCACCATAATATCTCGTGCGGCTCAGTGGCCAGATTCAAAGGATTATTTTATGTTGTTATATCTGTTACAAGCTATCTGTATGGGCTTCAAATTGTCAGATTGAATATTTGGCTAGACGAGGGTAGATGTCATGCGTGTTGGTCGAAAGATGAGCATTTCTGTACGAAACGTAATGTGTCAAACAGTAATGTATGTTTTAATCCTTTATGGAGCGTCTAGTTGGCATCGTTCGGCTTTAGCAATGGCGTTAGATCGACTACAAGACAAAATAATGCAATAGAGTTGAAGACGAATTAAACGCAAATTAGCGAAGAACCACACTCTATTATGAATGTATATGCTACCGAATACAAAAATTGAGTGTACTCATAGTGGGTAGTCGATTATGCGACTAAGTGATTTAGTGCGATGCCTCAGTGGGCGGAAGCACACTATCAATAGTGTCCTTCTATCATGTCTAAC